AAAAATTATTATGCCCTTGAGGCTCACCCTGTGTGCTCAGAGTCCTTGAACTAAAACAACTCCATGGGCTTTATCTCTGCACCAAATGGGCACATATTGACTGTGAGCTAAAGTGCTAAGTTGCAGGGACAGAGATGGAGTCGGGAAAGGTTGTGCCTGGCTTTGGCTGGGTCTGAGGGAGAGCCACAGCTTCCTGTGAGAATCAGGGTGCTCACAGGGTCTCCCCAGTGGGATCCAGGCCTGGGTGCACCTGGAAATCCAGCTGGTGCCCCAGCTCTATCTTCTTCAAATACTGCCAACCCAGATGGACGAAAATCTATCTATCTATCTATCTATCTATCTATCTATCTATCTATCTATCTATCTATCTATCTATCTATCTATCTTTGGAGTCTTGTTGAGAACACTAGCTGGCATTTGTTCCAGAGGCCAGATCTAATTACCAGTTACAAGTCACATGACAATAATCCTGGTGTTAGTTAGCCAGACCTTCCCTTCAGGTATATTCTTCCATGCAAGTTGGTACAATACAGGAACAGGGAGACCAGTATAATTGCCAAAGCCATTTAATTTACTAAGAGATTATTTAAAAAGCATTATTAATTGTGGTGCAGTGAATGGGTGGGTGATTGGGAGGTTGGGAGTCAGTCTTGAGCCCTGTTCAGGTAATACTGATTTCTCCATACATGTATTCCATGCTCAAAGCTCAGCACAAAGTTAAGAACCAGTACCCAAAGACCTGCAGCCCAGTGCTGCAACCTACGGAGTCCGAGCTTGGCACCCCAGTGCATGACCAGAACAAAAAGCCCATGGTTCACACTGGGGGACAGTTATGAAGGCCACTGGTGCCGGAAGCCAAGGTTTCACTCCAAGCTGATGTTGCTTAAAAAGCAGCAGGGTCACTGAGATTACGGCAGCTTTTATTAAGCAGGTACCTCTTCACGGTCACACATGCCCTGCTTGCTGAATCTGCCATTCTGCAGAAGTGCTGAGCATGCGTAAGCACAGAACTGGTCAAATACGGGCAGCTCCCTAGAGGAGGGGACACACCACAGGGCTGTCACTTGGGAGAATGTGGCCCCACAGTTCACTTTCACCCAAATCCTGGGCACTTCTTAGATTTCATGATTGGGCCTGCTTTAGGATCGCTTGGCATGATGGATGAAGGGCAGGTGGCGGTCACAGGGACCGCAGAAAATCCCAAAGGACTGGTAAAGGGCATCCAAGACCTGTGCTACCTCAAGACTGCATTTCCTATAGCCCTGGGCTCTGGCTCCTCCTCCTCTGTGGATCAATGTTAATAGCTCAGTGTCCATCAGAGGGCAAAGTTACACAATCAGTGTCCATGCTTACAGGAAAATAAAACCTGCAATGTGGCTCTTTGCTCCCATTTTGTAATGCCCTCTTTCGCTTGGTATCCAACGATACCAAAGCATTCACAGAGGAGAGCTGAGTCTGGACCTTGTTGCAAAGAGGTGACTTTTGCCTGAGATTGAATCTCTGCCTTCCGGAATGTGGGACCAATGTGCTCAGCGACTCCGTGTATCACGGGAAAGGAACCCAGGCAGCTGGGGTGTTCCACAGTTGGCTCAAGGGCCTTCCCCGCAAAGGCAATCCTGAAGGCTTGAGCAACACTTATGAAAGAAGAAAGGAATCAGCTTTTCAAGTGTTGCCATTCAGGTCAGATCAGCGTAAGTGGATATCAAAACCTTTGCAGCAAGTAGTTTTCTTGTTCTTTATGCGAAGGGGCTAGGTGGTTCTCCTAGAGCGTTTTAATAGAAATTAGCTCATCACTATGGAACACCCAATATTGTGCCTGGGATGTCACAGGTGGTTTCCCCAGTGCAGAGGATTTCACAATTGGGCATGGGGACACGGCAGTCACAGATCCCTGTCCACAGGCTACCAAGGTTCCCCCTAACTGGAATAATCCATGTGCAGAGGGTAAGGGTGGACCCCACACCCATGACCTGTCAGAAAGTGTTGGAGATCCAATATGCTGGACTAATAGACAAAATGGGAGTTGGAGGGACATAGGGGAACAAGTATGCTTGAAAAATTAGGCTAAGTGAAATGAAAGCACCAGGATCCTTCCATAGGCTCTGTTCAGAATTTCCTTGACATAAACCCTTGCCTTTCTTGTATGTTGCTTCTCACTTGGGCTGTGGACCTTGACCTTGGGCCCAGCACTTAAATTACCTTATCTGAATGAAACATTCTCTGGGCTGGGAAGCCTCATAGTCTCATCTTTACAGCAGTTGCAGGAAGGACAGGAGACCAGGGGGCTGGATGTACAATCTAAGAAGATGTCCCCAAACTCAGCCCGCAAGATAAGCAACAATCAATGCAATATTTCCTCAGATTTCAGAATTTTACATTGAGTCAGGAGGACTGGTAACAGTGACGAGTGGAACAGTATAAGAGCCCTAGGCAAAAGGCAAAGTCAGTTGCACTGTCTTTTTGTAGAGTTGTCACTGTTTTGCTTTGTTCAGCAGATGTTAATTTGGAGGCAGAAACAGAATATTCAGGAGCAACGGCTGCCCGGGGTCATTGTATAGGAGTGTTGCCGGGGAAATTCACATTTGGCTACTGCTTAAAATAACTGTGTGTGCAGCCAATGTGGTGGTGCTGCACATTAATCCTCAGCTCTTGGTGCATGCATCCCACATGGGCACAAGTTCTAGTCCCTGCTGCTCCACTTCCGATCCAGCTCTCTGTTTATGGCCTGGGAAAACAGTGGAGGATGGCCCAAGTCCTTGGGACCCTGTACCTCCTCTCTCTGTTTCTTTGTAAAATCTGTCTGCAGCTCAGGGTGGAGGGGAAGAAAGAGATTTTTGTAGATTGTCCCAAGATAAAGTTTCTGCCTTCTCTCCATTCTAAGATTCCACCAATTATCATTACTTTTTTTTTTTTTTCAGAAGAAAAACCAAACATCTCTGGTAAATATCTTATGACATCATCTCTAAGAAAGGGCTCATGCTGCGGCACAGCAGGTAAAGCATCTAGCTGTGAAACTCACAGCCCATAGGGGTGAGCCACTTCCTGTCCTGGGTGCTTCACTTCTGATCCAGCTTCTTGCCAAGGGCCTGGGAGAGCAGTGGAAGTCGGCTCAGTGCTTGGGGTTCCCGTCTGGTCCAGCCCCAGTGTTTGGGAAGCAAACAGCAGATGGAAGCTCTGTCTTCTGTTACACACACACACACACACACACACACACACACACACACACACACTAAAAGAAGCAACAGTTCTTAAAATGAGGCAATGTAGCAAAATGCTTTAATTTGGGATCCTAACACAGTAAAATTTGTACTCTCCAAAAAAATGAACCCAAAAAATGTACTCTCCAAATTGCTTTATTGATGGGTGACTGTACATGTTTCAAAGAATCAGTGATAACAATGCACGCATGGTAACACTCCCTGAAAATAGCCCATAAAGAAAATCTAGCATCTGCAAAACCAGTGGCCCTTCCTCCTCAGAAATCCTTCCCAGCGCTCTCCCTTCCGATGGCCCCATCACCGGTTGGAATCCCATGCTTACTGGATGCTGTGATCTGTTGCAGACAGTGCGCGAGCATGGGTGCCCTTGGTCCTTAAAGTCACATCCTGCAGGTTAAGCGCCTGCCTTTGGATGTGCACTTGGTGGCACTGAGCAGAATAACACGGACTTGATGAGCCTCTGGAAATCCTCTAGCTGGCCAGGCAGCTTCCCCTGCCATGAAACCTGGCTGGTTCCTGTTGGCCTTCAGGCATCTATGCTCCTCCCCTCCCCCATCCCTAGCCGCTCTGGCCGTGGGAGCACCTTTCAGCCTGGCTTCTTCTTGGATTGGGGGGTGGAGGGCAGAGAGAATATAAAGTCCTCGTACATCTACTCCCTCGATCCAGGGATCAACCCTCACTGCAGGCAGTGCACACAAGCTGCCAAATCACGCAGAGGAAAAGGAAATGGGAAAGCCGGCTGCAGCGTGGGTCGCTTCTTGCTGGGTGGGGCCATGCCCCTTTCCTGAAGGATGTCCCCAGAGGCGAACCCTGGCAGTATGTGCCGCCAGCCCCCAAGCGACCGCGGTCGCATCCCCTGGCTGGGTGACCTCCCTGCATTACTGATGACGCGAGGCAGCTGAGTTGACGTCAGCATTCTGAGAGCTCGAATCGTTAATATTAGAGCAGGGAACAGCCATCCTCACTTCGTCTACATAGGTGCAAAGGTCGTACCCTGGGACGCACCCGAGAGATGTCACCCCGCGAATCCCCAGCCCCCAAACAGCGAGCGGTGCCAGAACAGCAACCTGGCAGTTCAAAACGGAAGGTGGCTTCCCGCATAGCGTTCTCCCCGCTTTTCCGGCCCCTTGCCTTGCCTTTTCCTTTTTTCAGCAATCTCTGGAACGCCGCATTTTCCCGCAGTGCCAAGATGCGCACTCAGAGCGGACCCACTGCGCGACTTTGGATATGCCTGCAAGGGCCGGGTGATGGGAGCGGGGCACACCCTGAGCCGTCCCGCGGCACACGAACTGCTCTCGGTGCGGGGTGAAACACGTGCTAGTTAGTGCGGGGACCCGTGGGCCAGGGCTTCCCGGCGCTGCGGGGACACGGCGCGAGTGCGTAATTCCGGGAGACCAGGCGCCAACAGACCCTGGAACAAGAAATGGAGCAAAAGCCAGCCGGCAGCGAGGGGCTGGAGCGCCGCGACCCGGACAGTGGCGCTTCGCCCCGCGCACTTCCTGTTCACCGCGCGCCCCAGCCAGCGTCCGAGCCAGGCCCGGCCCCTCGCGGTCCCCTCTCAGTCCCCGGGAATGGCGGCGTGGCGCGGGGTGAGGGGCCCGCGGGGCTCCGGGCGCGCGGCCCGGGGCTGGCAGGACCCCGCGGGCTGCCGCCAGCACGCGTGCTGGCCGTCCCGCGATAGCCCAATTGCGAAGAGTATTCGCCTTTGCACCTCCTCTTCCCCTCCTGCCCTCCCTCTCGCTCCGAAAAGAGGACGGCCCTAGTTCCAGGCTCCGGGCGGCTTTATTCTGCGGCCCAGCATGGCATTTCTGCACCCACCGTCTCGCTCGCACCAGAGTCTCCACTTCCACGCACTAGCAGAGGAGGGTTGTTTTGCAGATTGGTGTTTTTAATTGCACCTGCCTTTCGGTTTACCTCTGGGAATACGGGGGAGGAGCCGAGAGGGTGGAAAATGTTGCTTGGCTTTGCAAAAGGAAGAAAACTTTGTCACTCAGCAGGAGACCTCCACGGCTGGTGACCCTGCGAGAGCTCAGCCCAGGACGGGCTTCCACTTTGATCTGGCATCGGACGACTCCGTAGAAGGAGGACGTTTGCGCTCCGCGCTGCCCGCCGACCGCGGGTTACCTGCCCCACCCTCCTGCCGCGCGGAAGTCCCCACGAGGCGTCTCGGAGTGCAAGGGCTGCGATAAGACGCGCACGGCTGCGGGGCCGGCGGCAGCGGGCCGGATCCCAGGGACGGCTCGCAGCGATTAAACTTGTACTTAAAGTTATGGGAAGTGCGGCCATGGACACCAAAAAGAAGAAAGATGTTTGCTGCCCGGGCGGGAGCGGCGGCAAGAAAAATGCCCAGCAGAAGAGGCGTTCGCTGCGCGTGCACATTCCGGTGAGTGCCGGGGCCGCCCGACGCGCGTGCCCCGTGTGTGGCCGTAGGTCCCCCCGGGGCCAGGCGCCTGCTCTCTTGCCCCACGCGCTGGACGGCGGGGGGCCCGCTGGGCGGTGCCCGGGATGGGGCGGGGGAGGGGGCGGCGGCGCGTCTTGTTGTTTTGCAGAGAAAGGCGCTCCGGGGGTGGAGCCCGCGTGCGGCTGCCCGGGACGCCGGGGAGGGGCGCGAGTGGGGACGGCGCTGGGGCCTGAGGGCTGAGTATGCCTGCTCCCCTCCACTCCCCACAGTGGTTCGGGGCTCGGGCTGGGCAGGGGGCCTCTGTCTCTCTGCAGTCTTTTCGCTTGTTCTGTTTCCTGGGGTCATAGTTAGGGCCTCTGTGCTGTTTGGGGGTTCGGGGCTCCTGACCCATGCGAGGTTGCGGCGGCGAACTTCAGCCCGGGCCACGCGGCAGCCAGGGCTGAACTTTGGGCGACATCGATCGGTCTATGGGTTGACCTTGTCCTGCTTGAGGGGCTGGTGGGACCCTGCAGATGGCCAGCTCGTGTGTGTTCTCCCAGGAGGGGCCCAGTGGGTTAGAGGTGGAATACACACACACACACACACACACACACACACACACACACACGCCTCCACCAACCGTGTAAATGTCCACACGCCTCCTAGGAACTGGCGATACAGAGACACACGGCACAGACCACACACCCACAAGCGCACGTGCAGGCAGAGGCAAGAATAGGACGTTCGGAGAAGTTTTGTTCCCACTCCTGGGGCCGGGCCCACTCTCCTCCTCTGAAGGCTGCTGGACCTCTCCTCGCTAATACTTCCGGCCACATCCCTGACTGACTCCATTTCCACCACGACCCCCCACTCCTGTGTTGGCTGACTGCGGCATTTCTTTTTGGCTCCTCCCTTCTCTCCCCCCACCCCAGCATTCTTGGGGGCTATGCACACCTGTTTAACTCTTGGATGAGGGGGCTAAGATTTAGTGGCTGGAAATCCAGAGGTTTCACTGGGCTCTTGGAGGAAGCTGCTTAAAGTGGGGTGCCTGGGGCCAGCGCAGGCAATAGCACACGGTGGGAGGCCTGGGCAGTCATTGACTGACCATGGCCGGTGTGTGACCTCCAAGAAGAGGACCTGAATGTGTCAGAAGTAGGGATCTGTCCCCCAAAAAACGTAGTATTTCCATCTGCCTTGGAAATTCAAGGCGTTTTAAAACCACATGTGTCAACCGAAGGATGCTGCTACAAATCTCTTTTTAACAATGACCCCTGAAGTGACCCGTTTCACCACCCACTTTGTCTCATTTGTCAAATGAAGGAAAAGAGCGCACGTTTTGCCTGCCTTCCAAGGATGCCGAGATGAAACACTTCACTGGGAAGCTCTTTACGGTTTAAAGTGTCACGAATGTGTGCGGCCGTCACATGTATGCCAGAGCACTGAAGGAAGGGAACATGACCGTGCAGGGGCCACAGGGAGCGAGATCCCAGATGCACTGAGTGGAGGGCGGGGCATGGCTGGTGCTCTTGCCAGGAGCTGGTAGGACTGTAGCAGAAGAACCCAAGTCAGGAGCAGTGTGGAGTGACCCGGCTGTGCAAGCTAGGAAAGAGGATACTGGCTGGGACGCTCTGCCATCCTCCTTGCTGCTTGTCACCCAGGTGGCTGTTCGCAGTGTCAGCAGGCTAACGCCTCTATCTTTATTCTGTTTTTCAGTGGTCTTACACTGAGTGTGCCCCTGTGCCCCATGCTTTAGTTACGAGGAGAGCTGAGCTGAAGGAGAGAGGGTGTGGTCCCGACCTCAGAATGCTTTCGGTGGTTGGTGGTCCCGTCGTGTACCCCCAGTAGTCATCCATCGGTGGTTATGCCAGGCTTGGTGAGAATTGACAATCCAGCCCGGAAGATAAGGCTGCCAGATACGTGCCAGCCAATGATCCAGGGTCATAAGATGAGTAATGCAGACAGCAACTGCTCGTGGAGGAGAATGAAGGACAGGCAACTGTGGGCGGATGTGTTCAGAGCGACTGCAGACTTAGAGATGGAGGGGTGGTGGCAGAAGGGAGGCATGGGAGCAAGCTTGTGGGGTACTTGAACACCCCAGGGGGCTAGGGCAGTTGGTCTGGGGATGTGGAAACCCATTTCCTGCAGAAGAAAGCGTTGGGGAAGGCACTATTGCCCAGCACATTAGCCTGGTGGCTAAAGTCCTCACTTTGCACGTGCCAGAATCCCACATGGGTGCCGGTTCTAATCCTGGCAGGTCTTGCTTCCCATCCAGCTCCCTGCTTGTGGCCTGGGAAAGCAGTCAAGAACAGCCAAAAGCCTTGGGACCCTGCACCCGCATGGGCGACCTGGAAGAAGCTCCTGGCTTCGGATCAACTCAGCTCCGGCTATTGTGGCCACTTGGGGAGTGAACCAGCAGAGGAAAGATCTTCCTTTCTGGGTCTCAGGGTAGTCTCGCAGTGATGGCTTCAAATAGGAAATCTGGGATGGATGTTTAGTGCAATGCTCAAGACGTTGCTTCATCAACTTGATCTCAGCTCTGCTTGCGACCAGCCCCCCACTAACTTGCACGTTGGGTGGCAGCCGGCAATGGCTCCTGTACTGCAATCCTTGCCACCCACGTGGATGGCAGTCTGGCTGCAATTTGGTCCAACCCTGGCTGTTGAGGGCATTAGGAAGAGCCAGCCAGCAAATAGAACGCATGCGTTCTCTCTCTCATTCGGTGTCTGTTCTTTTCCTGCTTTTCAAGCGAAGATGTATAAATAATTATTATATGTGTATGTATATCTAGATCTCAGCCCAGCTGAGTTGAATTGCAGTCTCTAAGGAAAGGACATGCATTGTTTCCCAGGTAGTTCATAGGCCTGCTTGGCTGAAAAGCTATCCATTCCAGGCCTGCCCGATCCGTTTCTTATGTCCCCATGGGTTATTCCTTCTGTCTGTTACCTGTCAGCCTGTCTCTGCTGCCTGTCTAACATCTGTCAATCATTTCCACTTTTTCCAGCCATCATGGAGATAGGATATCTCAATGAGTGATTATTCAACCAAGGCAGGCAGATCTGGCTTACAAAGATGCACACCCCAGTCAACCTCCAGCAGGGTCAACAATGTGGACCAACCTGCTGGGCCACACAGGAGGACTCTGGACTCAACCCTTCGTTCTTAGATACCTTTAGCATAGACTGTTACTGGCTCCCAGGAATGGAGCATCCTCAGAGCTGTCTTGGAGCTGCTGGGTTAAATCCCAGGGTGTTATATTCCCTGCAGGGCAGGTGTGCAAGCTCCCTGGGTGTGGGCACAGCATGCCAGCTGGCTACTCATTAATGCAGTGTTGTGCTGGACTCCTGAGGTTCCGGGCAGTTGGGGAGTGGCTCTCTGGTCCCACTTCTTCTGAGACACTTCTGAGGTTGTCACCAACCTCCCTTGGGCAACTCGGCTGGTGGCAGAACTGGGCATTTTCAGGACCATACATTCAGTGGTTTGAGGTACAATCCTGGCACTGAGTTCCCTGGCTTCAGTCTCATTCCCGCATGAGGAACACCCTCACTGTGGCCACATTCCCGTTACCTGGCGGACGATACAGGCCATCATGGTGCGTGTGAGATCTGGGCCTCTGTTCTGCCGAGCTGCCCCTGCTCTGCTTCCAGTTTTGTTGGGGACCTAGTTAACGAAGAATTTCAAGATCCTCATGATTCCAAGTCTCTGAACACTGCAGAGCAGCCTAAGGATGCATGCACCTGTAGATCCTGGGTCATCCTCTCCCTTAGAGGAGCAACAAACTGAGGTATTGTGTGTTCAGCACATCATCCTTCCACATATCCCAGACTTTTAGGGTTCTCTGTGTACTCCTGCTATTACTCTTTCTGTTTTCTTTGAGCTTCTCTCCTTCAATAAATCCCAACAAAACTAGCGCATTCTTGCTGGTCGCCACTCAGGGCTTGCAACTTGGTCTGCACTGAAACTCTGCGTGGGCTACAGACATTACTGGGAAGCACTGTCCACTGCCCAGGGCCTCCTCACCTGCTCAGCCTGCATCTGCAGAACTTGAGAATCCTCTAGAACTTCCATTTGAGTGCATTCATTTTGCTGCAAGGGCTTTGCTGTTCCTAGATACTTTTTCATTCTGTGAATGTCACTGGATCTCCTGCATGGAGCTCCAGGTACCTTGAAGATCCTGAATTTCCTGTTCCCCTGTACCCACCTCTCTTACCCCAGATGTGAGCAGCTAGCACCATCCTACCTGTGGAACACTCAGAGTTGTCTCCCATTTCTCTAAAGTTGGTGGGCCCATTGGCTGGATAACCCCCAAATGTTGTCAGTGTCTTGAGTGTGCTGAGCAGCCATGGTGGAACAGAATCCTTCATTTGCTTAGGCCATTAACAATGACCTTGCTTGTAAGATGAATAGAGGAGACACTCAAGAGAGAAGCTGTGTGCCTTGGGGTCAATCACAGTGAATTCTTCAAGGACCCCCTGGGGGTCAGCTGGGCAGCTTAAGCAGAGGAAATAATGGAATGTAAACTGGCCGTGCCCACTGTCTATGGAAAGAAACTACACATGGACCCACATGTTTTCACCTGCCTTGGAATGGCTCATCAGACTCTCGCTCATCTTTGTCCTCCACTAGGAAAATAATTTAATCTCCATTCTTTATACTTCCTGTTGACAGAAAGCCCTCCCTGCCAGCTCATGGTTTGTTACAGACCCCACTGGCCAGCATTTGGGGTGCCTGCCAGGTATACTGTGACCTGGCAACAAAGTTACTGATGATTTCCTAAGAGTAACCAATTTACCCTTGGTAATCCCAGGATCCCAGCCTCTTCTCTATGAGGCAGAGGCCCCATCCTGTCTGTGGGCAACCCAGGAGGCGGGCAGATAGTGCCAAGGCGATCTCCATTCCTGCTGGGGAAAGGAAGAAGAAGGACACAACAGGGCAGTGACAGAAGTTTAGAACATGGGGTCCAAACGTCTCCATTTGTAAAGAACCAGAGAGCTGGAGAACTGCTC